TAAACTGTGTTTAGTTACCTTCAGGAACAGCCAGGACAAAAAGGCAGAATAAACCTCCAGTCACCATTATCGCCGAGTGAGGAACGCGGCGTCCAAATCTATTAATAGCAAGGAAACAAAATAAGATGATCAATTCAAAGTGGCCTGATATATATTTCAATCTGTTTTTTAGGTTTATTCCAAGAAGATTCTTTATGAAGAAGTTTGTCCCTGTTTTCCGAGTTGTTAGTTCAAGTGCTCTACCCATACCAAGTGAAAGTTGACAAGAGATCATATTCAAGATATGTACTAAGCGGTGAAGGCACCTTAGAGACTACAATTCGACGAATTGATCAACTTAAAACAATCTAAATCGACTTAGAGAACAAAACGATATGGTTAACTTTATCATCAGATCTGATAACACGATCACTTCGGACAGAATGCAGTTGATTCGCACAGCCAACGTAAAAATCGCGATTACAATTGACCAATTAGTTTCAATTTCTTGAAAAACCTTGCTACACTTGTCGGTAACAATAACAAAAATTCATTAACACAGAGTTCGGGTCAAAGTATTAGAGGCTTACTTCTGCACGATCACCCAGTTGATAAGGTGTGTTGGCACGTCTGAGAGGTACATAAGGAACAAGTTCAGATATGGACTACCGGCCAAACGAGTGACGTACAGCAAGAATCCATAGTACACCATGCTTATAACCATCCTGGATAAAGCAGCACAAAAAGGTTTGAATATTTTTTTTTTTCGAAAGTATCTCCACGGATCGAAATCTTAAGTCTTCGAATAGGATTAGCTTATCAATCACAATACGAACAACCGTCCAGACTTTTTTTCGCGCCAGCAGAAAAAGGAAAGTCGCTCTGTGCAAGAGCGACAAACTTATCCATTATCCTCCCAACAACATAAGGGGGTTATTAGGCCGGTGAACCGATAGGAAATGCAGTCTACTGCTTACAATTGAATCTGCTCGTGGTTAGTTGAAATTTTCTCTCAATGTCGAATTTGCGTCAAGTAAAATACTTCGCGATGCCCAATTTTTGCGTTGCTGCACACAACTTCTACTATTTCCAATTAAATATGTTTCTGCAACTCACCAGTTGAAGCTAAGGATGATGGTCCTCTTCCTCAACCGGGGGGAACGAATCAGCTCCAGATAGGACTGATTCTTAGTCAAGTAAGCAATCGTTTTTGACTCCACCTCACCCTGGTGATACTCAGTCAGCTTGTGTTTCAAGGCATCTGAGTCTACTGGTGAGGACTTTTTGCTAGCGAACTTCATCAAAACATCATGCGCTTGAGTCAGGTGACCTTTTGCCGCCAACCATCGCGCAGATTCTGGGAGGATACTGTGGAGTCAAGCAAATTATGATGTTTTCTCAGGTCTGTATTTAAAGAAATGTTTGTATTTGTATGTTTTTTTTTACCAAATGGCTAATCGGTCAGCGGTTCATTCTGAAAATAACAGCATCAAGTTAAAGTGGGAATTCGTAGCAGTGTTTTTATGTCAAGGCTTTCCTTAGTTGAAACTAAGTCTATGGGTAGCTGTGTGGTTGTTGTGTTATTTTGCAGTTGTATTGTTTACATAAGCTACGTGTCAGGGTGATACTATTTGTAAGGGGATTCACGTGTCCTGCTCGGGGGAACTACACGTGTTTTGAAGTTCGGAATAAAAGTTGGTCTCTTTTGAACACAGGACTGGAGTTTGCTTCAATTCTCATCAGCCAAGTTATTCGATAGGGCTCATTAACTTGTCCTACGTTTTGTTTTATTGAAAACAAAAGCTTTTTGTCATCGTTATCATTGTCATCATTGTCATCATTATTCCAGAGAAGAGTACGAAGTTTGTGTGACAGGCAAAATATCTCTGTGAGCAATTGTATGCAATGAAAATAACTGCTCAGTTAGAGTTAAAAGTTGTTGCAGTTAAAAAGCAAATGATTTAAATTGCCTACTAGAATCTATCTGACAATCTGATCATTTTTTCATGAGTAGGTTGATAACCGGAAAACAATGATACCGTAGTTTATACGTGTAACTCACGTGCAAATCAAAAAGATCAGAAGCGGCGGGAAACTGCAGATAATCAGCAGGGTTCTCCAGTGCGGTATAAGGTAACCAAGTAATGCGATCAACCCCGCCCCTATACACCAAAACAAACTCTGGACTTTGTCAGAAAGAGTCCGGTGACGAGGGCCAACCAGTTCAAGAACATAGATGTAGTGGGCGACGAAGAAGCCAACGGCAAAAGCTGCGGCGAAGAAACGGAGAAAGGCAAAGAATGACAAACAGTCGACGACTCCTGACCCAAGGCTGGAAATGGCCTGTGGAGGGAGAGTATGGCAGATGAATTATATCTGAGCAGAAATCAAATGGCACACCTTGCCAGAACTATGATCCAGGTTTTCGCTACATGAAGTAATTCCTTGAATTTCTAACTCCCCTTGACTGGATGCAACCCAGGACTGGGTTACCAAAAGTATAGTTTCCCTAACAGTTTGGTCATAAATAGTAGACTTCCGTGGGGAGAGAGGCCTGGTGAGACCAAATTGCCGTGTCGGTAAGCTCAACTAAGAACCTGGAACCCAAACCTTTTCACGCGTAAGGCCACAACTTATCCGCCTGCGAAATAAATATTAAGTTTACCAAATGAGCGCAGGACCATCATGGATGAGGCAATTGATAAAAGAAGGGAATCATACCAATAATGCAGCACATATATATATACAGAACCGACGCCCAAAGAAATCCGAAGTTACTCCGAACACGAGAGAGCCGACGAGCATTCCAGCTGAGAAGACCGCCTGGACATTGGCGCCAACATAAGCCTTGTCACAAATCAGGTTCCACTGGAAAAAGAAACATTTTGAACTTAGATAAATTCGATAGACAGACAATTTTCTTTCGTTCGGTATAGAACACATACTTTAGGAAGAAAAATGGTTTCAAATGCGATCATGCGATTCTACGTAGGTAAATAAATAAACTTATTACATCCATTTTGAAATCACTGGTGGTCCCTATAATCTGATTGGCTCTAATTGGTGCGATTTATTCACGAATCGCACCATTTTTTGCTTTAAATCGCATTTTTTCCCAGCCAATGAGGAGGCTACACTAAAAACAAAACAACCAATCAGATTTCAAGGCTTTTTTAAAGTAACATGGATTAATTTAATTTCAAACCGGCTACGTACTGCATCAATAAAATATTTGAACTGACCAAGTCCTGTATTTGGGCGATTTCAAAATGGATGTAATTTTAAATTGTTTGCAATCTTCAGCTTTCATTGGTTGGTAACGAACTGGTTATTTTCGCAATCAATCACCGCTTTACGGAATAAATGCCCCTTTCTAACAGTGATCGAGGTCCACACTGAAGCAATTAATCTAATTGTCCCAAAATGCTTACGAGGTCATCATCTATATCCGAGCCAGAGGCTCTTGTTTTAAATACATGACAATAAATAGAAATTATTATTAATTGACAAAAAAATATATTTTATCAAGGATAAAAAAAATTCAGGTATATGACCAAGGAAAATGTGACTTAACCATATCACAGAAGACATGCATCATTCCAAGCTCACCTCACTGACGCTACTTGTGAAAGGACCATCAAACACATAATCAGTACAGTTCGTGCAACATTTGCTGTCTGCGCATGTCACGTTGGGAGTTACACAATGGAACCTCGGTGTACCAGCAAAGAACACAAGTCCTATCACTTGTAACGTGGAAGGAATAATCACAAGACAACAAGTCGCCACGTAAATTATTTTCTGCCAGTATCCAAAGGAACTCACACTTGTCAGGACGTCGTCGAAATTTGAAATCGATGGTCTTTCTCCAGACATGGCTGATTGATTTCGCGTCTGAAATTCAGTGAAAGAGCGTTGATTACACAAATATTTTCAAAGAAGCGAGTAACCGCAAAAACGAATTCATAAGAACAAAAATTCATATCGTAATTAGTTTAATCTTGTAGTCTGGTCATCCGGGCTAGAGTGGTTTTAGATAAATACTACCCGTTTAACGCCACAAAATGAATACACAGCTAAAATTATTTGCTAGATAGACGTTTATTTAAATGTAAAGATGTGTAGATGTGATTCGACTGAAAATAAATACAAATATCTAAGTACAAAGGTAAGCTACACAAAAAAAAACGAACTTACAATTTGTGGCGTAACCAGGTCTGGCAGTTGATTCTTAAACAAAAGCCACACGGCGCTAACAAAAGCTAACGAGCGGCTGACTTCATTGAAATCAGACAACGCCTCTACTAGCGAGAAATTAATAAATCATCACAGGCGTTACGTTACATAACCGTTACATAATACTTACCGTTACCTATTACTTACATAACCTCACGCGAACACGCGAACTTATAGAAACAAAACTTCACAATAGTGGTACAATTGAAAGAAAATAATATAAAATCATTTCGCAGTTGCTTGACAGTAAATAGAAATGTAAATCCTAGTTGCTACAGTGATCCTGAGAAGTATTGTTGTCGGTATAAGTGACTCAAGTGATGCTTCGACAACGTGAGCGGAAGTCATCATCGGAGTCAAACGGAGTCAGTTTCATCAAAGTCACTTCCGCTGACAAGTGACTTCCGTTAGGCTGACGAAACGTCAGTCACTATAACTGATAACAGTGCTTCTGAAGAGCACTTAATGCGGAGCAGCACATTACATTGTAAAATACAAAAAGTTATTTTTCAAAGTAAAGCGTTGCTGAATAGAATTGTTGGATAAAATGCATGCTTTAGAAAATTTTTCACCGTTCGTGATTCAAATCTGCCGCTAGTTTTTTACAACTTCATGATTCAAACCGTTTCGACCTCGTATAGTCACATTTCAATCAGCATGGATTGAGAAGGGAGGCCGAAAACTTTGAAAGATTTTTTTAAAACCAAAGAATGCTTTTTAACGAAATGTTTTACACAAAAACAGTCCGCTGCCAATATGTATCACATCAATACGTATCACATCAATATGTATCACATCAATATGTATCACATCAGTCTACTCACCGTAAAGTGAAATGGTTAAGCGTGACGACAAATGGTTTAGTAAAAAACCGAAATGGTTTAGTGCTACAGCAGTTGGTTTACGCCGTAACCGCCAAAAATACAAAAGTGAAATGGACAATTCAAGCTGGAAATGGAACAGTCTATGTGGGGCCACAACCCTATAGTTTTTATAGTTTTTAGATGCCCTTTAGTTGTAGTTTCGTCGTTTTAAAACAATGAATCGCTTTATCACGTTTCCTAGCAATGGTTCTGACTGTCTAGACTATAAGTGTGCTATCGCTTAAAATGATGCTTTTTATCAGTATTGTTGTCGTTCCTTTTGTTTCAGATTCTTATTTTATCTTGAGGCAGTAAAATGGGGAATTCTTACCATGGTCACGCGTAACCATCGTAAGAATTTTCCATTTAAAGTACAGCAGTTTTCACTATAAATTATTTATAACTATATAGTTTTTAACTATATAGTTTTTGTGGTTTTAGGCGCCCTTTAGTTGTAGTTTCGTCGTCTTAGAACAATGAATCGCTTTATCACGTTTCCAAGCAATGGTTCTGACTGTCTAGACTGTAAGTGTGTTATCGCGTGCATTTTTCAAAGTGTCATTCCTTCTGTTTCGGGTTCCTATTTTATCTTGAGGTAGTAAAATGAAGAATTCTTACCATGGCTAAGCGTAACCATCGTAAGAATTCTCCATTTAAAGAGCAGCAGTTTTCACTTTAAGAAACTGAAAAGAACAAAAGAACAATATGAAACTGGCTAATAGCAATTTGAACTCCCAACATGGTTAAGCCTCAACAATTAGAAATTTTACGACCTCAAGATAAAACTTCTAATAGTTGCGGCTTAACTTAGTTTTAACAAACTATTAAAATTGGAGATTAAAAAATATATGGTTTGAAACGATCGGAAAATAAATTATTGTGAAATATAAGCTTGTGACTAAGTGATTATTATGCTACTGAACGTTCAGCTGCTCGATAAAAACGGTTTCATCTAAAATGTCATTTACTTAATTGCGGCAAGATGATAAGGGTATAAATTTATTCGCTAACGAGCGAAAATAGGCAAACATAAATAATGATTATTACTGGAATAAGGCTTGCTGAGTCTAGTAGACGAGACTACAGAAATAATTTCTTCTTGTGTTGAACGTCGAGTGGAAGAACCTCGTGAACGCGAACGTCCTGGCGAATTTCGCGTCAAATTCGATCTGAACGAAGTAAGGGTTGTGACGTAACACCCCACATAGATTGTTCCATTTCAAGCTTGACTTGTACATTTCACTTTTGTATTTTTGCCGGTTACAGCGTAAACCAACTGCTGTAACACTGAACTATTTCGGTTTTTACTAAACCATTTGTGGTCACACTTAACCATTTCACTTTACGGTGAGTAGATTGATGCGATAGTATACCATTGCGGCTTACGATTAACTATTTGCCGATAACTTAAGTCATTTCAAACTACTCTGAATCGTTTATCATTTGAACCAAAGTACAGTTAGCTCAACCGTTTGTCATTTCGACACTGAACCATTTCAGTTAACACTTAGCCAATCATGTTTTTATTGAATCAGTTCAACAAGGGTGGTAACACAGCTTCTGAATTGTATAAACCATTTTTTGTTTGAATATTTCACTTCACCAAAGGCGACTTGTCCATTTGTATTTTAAATACGGTGGTGACAGCTGCTCATACATAACCTCACGCGAAAACGCGAATTTCATTGAATAGAAACAAAACTTCAAAATTGTGGTACAATTGAAAGAAAATAATATAAATAATTTCGCAGTTGCTTGACAATAAATAGAAACGTAAATCCTAGTTCCCACAGTGGTCCTGAGAAGTACTGTTGTCGGTAGAACTCAATTGATGCTTGGACGACGTGAGCGGAAGTCATCACCAGAGTCAAGCGAAGTTTTCATTAAAGTCACTTCCGCTGATAAGTGACTTCCGTTAGGTTGTTGAAACGTCAGTTACTATTGTTGACAACAGTCCTTCTCAATAATACTTTAATGCAGACAAGCAAATTACACGGTAAAATTAAAAAAAGTTATCTTTCAAAGTAAAGATTCGCTGAATAGAATTACTGAATAAGATGCATGCTTTAGACAATTTTTCATTGTTCGTGATTCAAATATGCCGCCAATTTTTCACTACTCACGATTCAAACATTTTCGACCTCGTATAGTCACAAAGGTAATCTATTGTTTGCACTATTGTTTTCTTCAAACAAAGGACTGTATGCATAATGAAGTATGGGGCTGTGCGGAAACTTTGCCCCGAAAACTTTAGAAGATTTTTTTCTTAACCAAAGAATGCTTTTCAACGATTTTGTCACAGAAACAGTCCGCTGTCAATATGTTTTGACTCTCTGACCAGAGAGTCAAAACATGAACATAAAATCTTCAAGGAACCAATCACCGTAACAAAGGAACAACTTGATTTTAAAACATTTGAAAATGTTAAACATAAAACATTTTGATATCCATAGTAATATTCGAGATGAAATTAGAGCAGTCTATTCTAAGTGAAATTAGCCATGGTCCAGTATTTGCAACCAAACAAAATTATATTTGTTCCTCAGCTATAAGTAATAAGATAACATGTTTGCAATTCCTCCATCTCATTAAAAAAAGGGAGAGGTCTTTGCGAAAGCTTATATTAAAGGATGTTCGTTGACTGTTGTTCGTCGGTAGCATTTTAGATAATTAAACTGACAAAAGATTAAATAAGGCCTTAAACAGCTGTAACATTGATAATAAAATCTTTTTAAAAAAAGAAGCTTTTGCCAATCAATGGAATCATCAGGGACGAGAAGAAATATTCAGTGTAAGCAGGAATTAATTACTTAATAGTAATTAATAGTAATGGGGCTCCTGGCGTAAGGCTTGGAGGGAGTCTGGTTTCATTTTGAGCACAAATTTGTGGAAGATTGTAAAGCACATTAAACTCCAGCGATTTAATTTATCTTCATAAAATTGTGTGTGCACATAGACTAACTCACAACCTAATGTGGCATATAGTTTGCATACCATAATATGCAAATTTATGGTTAAACATCAACCAATTTCTTTCTGGAGGCATTTTTTTATTAATTTTAACCCCACCTATTTTTTTCCAATACAAATGTAAATTAAAAGCGTGTGAAAAGCCAAAGAATGCAGGGAGTAGAATGTATAAATAATGAGGCACACATCTTTTTTAATATGATCACGCCAAGCTAAAGTTCGTGAAAATTTCAATAATGGGTCGCATTGCAAGACGAATAAAGCTACCGAGCTAAATATTTGCGAAAGGTTATCTTTTAATAACCTGGTTTGGATAAACTTTTAGATTTCGAAAGATTTCATTCCGATACCGAGTGCTTCAAATGCCTAGCGGCATCTATGAAGGTAAATAACCTGTTGAGAGGTTTTTTTCTATTAAAACTGCTCTTCTTGTAAAACTGAGGTTTTAAAAATAAGTTGACAGCGACTGACAACTTAACTTCTTCAAAGGAAATAAATATCACTTCGCAAACTACAAATATTTTCCATCCAAGAATCTAGACTTCTACCAACCATCTTTCTTACTCAGGATAGAATAAGAGCACCCTTTCCGACTTTTCAAACCTGGAGTGTGGCGTGATTTAAAATAATAATAATAATAATAATAATAATAATAATAACGAAAAGAAAATAAATAGCTGTCGCGCCAGTTGGACAATTTGAACAAACTCACGCGGCATTCAAGCGAAGCGGATGTTTTTTTAGGTCGCTACGCGTAGTGACTTTGCGAAGCGCAAATGAATTGAGAGGGCGAGCCTTTATAACGGTCCCAAACGACTGTAAAATACCGAAAAATAGATCATAGAACATAAATTGATACCTGATACTTTGCTCAACTTTCTTTCCACCGCACACCCAAACAGGCTAGCTTCCCCAACTCCGTGCAGCTACAAAGTGAACATCAAATTTATGTAAGACCTATTTCATAAGCTCTAGCCAAATAGCAGTTATTCAAATGCAAATGCGCAGCGGCATCTATGAAGGAAAACAACCTGTTGGGACTTTTTTTTCTTTTATAAACTGCTCTTAAGTTGACGAGCGACTGCAACTTAAGTTCTTTAAAGGCAATAGACATCAATTCGCAAACTACAAATATTTTCCATTCGAGAATTTGGACTCCTACCAGCCATCTTTACTACACAGGATAGAATAAGAGCACCCTTTCCGACTTTTCAGACTTGGAGTGTGGCGGGATTTAAAAAAATAATAATGATAACGGAAAGAAAATAAATAGCTGTCACGCCAGTTGGACAATTTGAACAAACTCACGCGACATGCAAGCGAAGCGGATGATTTCCTAGGTCGCTACACTCAGTGACTTAAGTGTGTGAGCGAAGCGCAAATGAATTGAGAGGGCGAGCCTTAATAACAGTCCCAAACGACTGTAAAATACCGAAAAATAGAACATAGAACATAAACTGATACCTGATACTTTGCTCAACTTTCTTTCCACAGCACACCCAAACAAGTTAGCTTCCTCGACTCCGTGCAGCTACAAAGTGAACATCAAACTTATGTAAGACCTATTGCATAAGTTCAAGACAAATAGCAGTTGTTCAAATGCAAATTTTGAATAAAAGAGTTCGTAATGTAAACAATACGGGAGTAAACGACGTCTTGATACACTTCTAATGCGTCGTGTTGCAAATCATCCTCTTCGGCCCCAAAAACGTCCTTGAAAGAGGATTAGTTTTCAAAAATGTTTGTGAATTCCACTTGAGGGCAATTACAGGTCACACGAAAAAAGCAAGGAACCAGGCACAAATAAAAATTAAACTATCAAATTTGAATTCTAATTCAACCCACAGATGCGCATAAAAAATCACCAATCAGTACGTGACAAAGGAAAATAATGCTAGCTGATAATCACTGTATTCCTTAAGGTTCTTCTTTACATGAGAATAGCTCGCGTCATATCTGATCCTCTGTCTGTTTTGAGTAATGCCACGATAATTGTAACTTCACAACTCCGCGCATGGATTTGCAAGAAGACCTTTCTAGAAAGAATCTTACACTTAACAAAGACTCCTTCCGAAGGATACGCTCAAATTCAAATATTAAAAATTGTGGAATATTCAGGAAAATGTTATGACGGTATTTTGAAGTAACGGTGGATATATGATATTTGCAGGATGTTGTGCATAGGCAAAGCACGAAATTGCGATACGGCCCAAACTAGAACAGCATGGGTCTGAGTTAGAAAAATTTCAGAACATCTAGCCCCTGGGTTAGTCGAAGTAAAACAGAAAAGACTAATAAAGAAAAAAATCCGTTTTAGCTGATCGCGACAGAGAAAAATAAGCAAAGGAGCTTATCTCGCATTTTACGAGGTAAAATTTTGGCATAGCCCCATCCTACATTATGCGTTCAGTTCTTGGATAGAGAAAACAATGACAAACACAATACATTGCTATTAGGAAAACAGATTTGTTTTACAATAGTATGGGGCTGTGAGGAAATTTTACTTTTTGCGATCGATGACTTCATTTGTGTTTAGTCTGTGAACACTAAAGAACAGGAAACTGGCGAGACCTAGTAATCCACAAAGAAGAAGCCATCTTAAGGTCGAGCACTGAGAACCAAAACGACGACGTTCAAGGAACCTCCAACGTTCTCCAAAGTTTTCTAACGAGTTTAACCCGGTTTATCATAACTGAAGAATAAATAATTTACATTACCTTCGCCTTACTCAGCACGCCTTGTTTTCCACTACGATCTCCAGACCATACAGGTCAGACTGATCAGTTGCAATGCTCAGTGACGCTTATCTTCGTATTGCGGTCGGAAGGTAAACAATAAAAGACCTGAAATGAAAGATGGGTAGGAAAGACAACTCATTAATAATCATTTTCAAAATTACGGAATAATTAAACAAGGTCAGTAGGGGGATCATGACAAAACTCATCACGGAAAAGCCTCTAACAACAGCTCTTACCGGCCGAACACTTTCAGAGTGTCACTGTTTTCTTAATATATTAACCTTCTTCCATAACGGATTATTTTGTTTTTTGGCAAGACTTTACCCGAGGAAGCGGGTTGTGGGGTGCAATTCACGGTATAAGCTATGTAGGTGTTTGCCATCCTAAAGGGTGTGTTTTTTTAAAGCTGGTTTTTCAATGAATATTTTAATCATAGTGGCACTAAACTGGGAACGGTTTCAAAGAAACTACTTTGATAAGTTTGAAAAGGCCACGACTTAAGTGAAATCCTACAAATGAAGTGAACATCTAAAATCATCCAAACTCTAAATTTAAAAAGAGGCGTATAGGGAAGCTCATGGCCAAGAGAAGGCGGTACAAAATTGCCTCCATTTTGCTGCAAGGTAATAGGTAATTTGCAGCAAGGAAATAGAACGGGTGTTCTCGAACTGATCAGTTAGGGACGTAATCAGTCTATATGTAACCTAATCCGTTCTGAGCACACGGAGGTTAGGAGAATGTACAACAGCTAACCCAGACGCAAGACGCTCTCTTGCTATTGCATCTGTGAGATGTTTTACTAATATACAAGCGAATCTGGAACGACAGAAACCGTGTTCACATATCCGCATCTAGGCACATCCATCGATCGATGAGAGCGCTCGTAAGTATCGCAGTTATTTTATAAATTCGGTTGACAGTCGCCTCTTCACCCTTCAATCACAGCCTTTGTTTGTTTGTCGGAGAGGCTCATATTTCTGGGCCTGGAGCCGTGTCCTATTTGAAAGGCAAGGGTCGTTGGATCAGCGGAAGGAAACCGATTTGTGAGTTTTTGTGCAGCTGTAGCTTGGAGTCGTTTTCTTCTCCTGTAACGGGTACGTGAACTACAAAGTTTTTTGTAATTCCGTTCGGGCAAGGGTGTAAACAAGCAGAACAAACCGCATAACCATCGTACCATGCAGATCGCTTCAATATCGTGACCTTGGATTGTGGATAGCTTTGTATCTAATAACTTTTTGGAATTGTGAATAGTGTAGTCTCTTTTTCCGCTGAATCTTCGCTTGATTTACCTACTCTATGAGTAAGGAAACAAGAGATCCCGCATAGGAAACCTCTGGGAATAACTCAGCCGCGCGTGGCGATCCACATTCATGGAACTCGATATTACAAGGGTCAAATGGCTTTGATTTATTTCAGGTGAATTTTGAAGCTTTTTTGAATTTGCAAAATTCTTTTAGAATTAAAAAAAAATTAATTAGTCTTTAAACAGAAGTCAAATTTACAGTAAGCTTCAGTTTAGGTTTTTTATTAAATCGAACCTCAATCTTCGCTAAGCGGACTCTGCAAACCGTCTGCAAAATGGCTAATATGGTCAGCTCAGACTGATAACAAACACTGCAGTTGGGATCTCGTGACGTTCGTTCATACTATTTTATTGCGTGTGAGCCATTAAGGGGATCTTCGCTGCGAGCTAGCCTACGCTCGAACACGCAACAGCGAATTGTGGACACGATATAGTAATGAGGCAAAAAAAATAAACAATTGCTCTTCGTCGCCCGATCATCGCTCGTATTTTGTTAGCGAGTTGAGGTTAATATTTCACTCTGCTAATATCAATGGTTGATTTACCGATAGATAAATCCATTAAAACTGTTTTCCCGAGAAAAGTTCATCAATCTGTCCGGCTGTGTAGGATGCTTTAGCTTCAACTTTGTCGAACATGAGACTTTCCGATTTGAGTTTCACATTTTAGCCACTGTCGCTAGCCTTTGTAACATTCAGAAGGTTTACACAGCCTAAATAATATCCACTCAGCAAGATTCCCTGTTTAGCATTCGTAATTAGAAAGTTTTATTGTTATTTTACACAAAAGCATTCTTTTCGTCGATCTTTGTCGCACAATTGGTTCGAATTTCAAGCGCGGTGAGCTTATAGCAGAGATAAGGAAGAAAATCGGGTGCTCAGTGTCTGTTGTCTGTTGCGCAATTGATACCAATCAGCTTTTATCATTATGCAAAGATACAATCCATCAAACCGAGGAGGCGGATAGCTTCAAATTGATCAGTAGTTACGCTGATTACTAGTAGAGTAACATTGGTAGTAATAAACTTATAAAAATAAACCAAAGCACTTATCCTGGGGGGGTTTGCGTATCAGTTGCACTATTATGAGTGGTGTGTCTACGCGTCCGTAAGTAATTATTGTGAGCCAGTGTTTGCACTATTTTAGACACATTGTCTGACAAGCAGAATTTTGATCGCTGAGTGAATTCATTTTCTAAGTAACTGATCAAAATCTAAGTTTGACTCCAAATTGTTTATGCGTAATTTTCAAATCTTTGCTTTACGTCGGAAGCGTTTGAGTAGGTAAACGCACAGCAAGGTTTTTTCAGAACTCAATCTTCATCGGTCAACTCTCATTTTCCTTCCCTTTCCCTTCCTTTTCTTTTTCCTTTCTTTTACTTTGCTTTTTGCCCTTTGCTTTTCTCCTCTATTCTTGTCTTTTCTTTCCTTTTCTTTTCTTCTGTTTTCTCATTATTCTTACACCAAAATGATGTCCTTACCTGGACGTTAACACAGCACGAACGGCTGTTGCCTGTGGGCTCAAATCATTTACTTCATTCATTCTGTTTTGTCGCATATTACTAGGGAGCGAGACAATGGAGAAAGAGACTGATTTAATTGCAGCCAACCACAATGAAGAGCATCTGACGCCTGAGCAACGAAAGAGAGAGAAACGAAAGATCACCAAGAATGTTTACATCATCAGTCTCGGGTTTTTGTTCCTCTTTACCGCCTTTCAGTCACTTCAGAACTTGCAGAGCAGTTTGAACAAGGTTGAAGGACTGGGTTTCTGGTCGCTATGCGTTATATACGCCGCCTTGATACTGTCCTGTATTTTAGTCCCTCCCTTCGCGATTGGAAGACTCGGCTGTAAGTGGACGTTGGTGTTCTCAATGACAGGTTACGTGCTGTATACAGTGGCTAACTATTACGCGCGATGGTGGACTTTGATTCCTGCCTCTTTTATAATCGGTAAATGGATTGTTCTTTTGCAATCTTGATTTTTGACTCAGTTTACAAGGACCAACATGGACTGACCGTAGTTTTGAAATCTTCTTTATGTCGAGTTGAATGTATCGCCGATCGGGACGTTAAATAATATATAGTCCTATGTCGTGAATCAACACGCTGCAAATTTAGCATCTATCTTTTACCGTTAACCAACGTTTCAATTCTCTTTTTAAAGGAATGTGTGCAGCACCTCTTTGGTCTTCAAAATGCGCTTACTTGACCACCACAGGAATCCGTTACGCTGAGCTCAACCATGAAACCCAGGACGCGGTCGTGACGCGCTATTTTGGAATATTTTTCCTGATCTTTCAGAGCGGCCAGATTATCGGGAACCTCATCTCTTCGCTTGTCCTTCAGCAGGGAATGGGGGACACCTTCCGTGAAAACGCCCGAGACGTCTGTGGCGTGAACTTCTGCAAGCCATTGCCAGCGACCGGAAATAAAACAGACGAGTACGATCACAAGCTTGTTATCAGACTTCTTAGTATTTATGTTGGTACAGGAGTATTAGCTGTCGTGCTGGTGATCGTACTGCTCGACCGGCTTACCGGAAGCCTGGACCGGCGAAAGAAGCAGGAATCTGGCCTTAATCTATTGGTTGCCACTGTGAAACACTTGAAGGACTGGCGCATGCTTCTGGTGTTACCGCTGACCATGTTCAGTGGGCTAGAACAGGCCTTCACGTTCGGAGATTTCACACAGGTAAAATGTTCTCATCTGTCAAAATCAGGTCAATACAATATCTCTAAAGGGTTTCCTTTTGGATCCTAAACTGCATTAATTTCCATACTTACTGTTTTTAGAAAATATTTTTCGCTGAGTAGATGCCACAAGTGATGTATTAAGCAGGACAGTTCTGATCTAAGAAATTCTCCCTATATTGAGAACTGTCTGGCAACCCAGTTTCAACGTGTGCGTGTGTGATTTAGATTTCAAGGGGAACGCAGCGGGGGGTAAATCGTCGCACAGAGTTTAAAGGGGGGACTATTGAACGTTGACTGTCGATGAGGGGGATCATTAGACTACTACAGGGCCTTAGGAGGGGATCAGTTAAATATCATTTTGATACAGCCAAAATCTCCTTCCCCCCTTAGGCGATGTATAACAACCGGTTCCTTAGCGCCTTTATTACTGATATATTACACAGGCATTCGTCACTTGTTCGCTCGGAATCCATCGTGTTGGTTTTGTTATGATCTGCTTCGGTGCCACCGACGCGTTCTTCTCGCTGACTCTGGGCCGTCTTACTAAGTACACTGGGAGAATTCCAATTTTCATCAGTGGTGCGGTAATACACTATGCTACCATTATAGTTATGCTGATCTGGAAGCCCGACTATCATATGGTGTGGGTGTTTTATGTCATTGCTGCTCTATTGGGATACTGTGACGCAGTTTGGCAAACCCAGATTAATGGTAAGGCATCACAGGGACACCAAACGTTATCGTAATGAGGCTAGCTAAGTTTGGTTTTTCGTTAGATGGATTGAAAGCTTAAAGGAAATCATTGAGTAATATACGGAACGATAGACTGACGGGCGGCAGGACGGACGGACTAAGAGGTCAACTGACAGTCTAACTGACCAACTGTCGGAAAGAATGTCGGTCTGACAGAGGGACTAATGGGCTAACGGACGACTGTTGGACTTACCGACGCACCGACTGGCTTGCTCAACTTACCTACTGATGAATTGATATATTGAGTCTGCTGTTATTTACTTTATTTGATCTTTGTGGTCAGTTTATTCAAATTTGTTTCATTAATACTCGACATGAAAAAGAATCATGAACTTGATCCTTTGTTTTTCAGGTTCAATCACAATGTTTCCAATTCTATTTGATCCCCTGTTTTATCTCTGTTATTACACTGGGAAATTCAATCACGTTTTTGTTAAAAAAAATACCTTAGCCAGGCTGAGTTTTTTTTTTTTTCACTAAAAACAGAATCCTCTTAAGTATTGGCATGTTATGTCTCAGTTAAGGTCCAAGTTTGATCACTTTGAATGTCATTTTTCTCAATACAGCCATGTACGGCGTGTTCTTTCATGACAACCAGGAGCCAGCGTTTTCTAACTACCGTCTGTGGGAATCACTTGGCTTCGTGATTGCTTTTGCATACGCCAACTACCTGTGTATCATTAGCAAGTTAATCATCCTCTTGGTAGTTTTAACCCTGAGCTTGGTCGGGTATTTCCTCGCCGAATATGTGCACAAGATTCAAATCGACCAAGAGTACTCTCTCGCAGACGGCATGGTGTTAGAAGAAGCCAGCCAAACGAGATCTTAACTGAAGAAGGAATCAGTACTATGTTGTTTTTTTATGAAGCAGCTTAAACTTTGGCCAGTTATTATCGTGGTTTTGTATATGATTCATCTATTATGGTGTTTAGGTTAATATGTATAGCGGGTTTCACTCAAAAAAGGAATAATTTTCTTTGGTTTCAGCCCTTTTCAAGTTCACTTTTCTACAGGCGAACACAAAGTCAAACTTTTGTTCAGAAAAATCACCCTTTTTGTCTCAAGACTGGGGAAAAAATCGTTCCTATACTTTCTTTGATTTCTATGGCAGATACCGCTGTTGTCAATTTATCGACCACAGAACGCAATAGAATCCTGCTTTTAGCGCCGTACTTCTTCATACATACTCTAAGGAAATTCAGCAAACAAATGTTTCCCTTCATCATACCGACGGTAAAAAATTTAGTTATGTGAAATTTATGTGAACGGAGAATTGAAATACTAATAAGGCAGAAATTAGTCTCTTACCCAGATCTTCCACGGCCGGCGGATCCTACAATGCAGTTACATGGTAAGATCTGGGTATGAGATCAGATGGAACTGATCAACATGTTATATATATATATATATTTTTTTTTTTGTTTGTTTTTTTGGCAAGGTATTGAATTGAGAAACTCATATATTGGAGGCTCATTGAAGTTTTAACATTGGAGGGTCCATAAATAAAGATATACTTATCGACGCTGATCGTGTTGGACCTGCATTTAGCGAACCACATATTAAGTGGAAACTCTGTGTTAAGCGGACACCGACTGAGGTTTCTATTTTGTCCTCTCACCATTATAAAAGGAACCTTTATTCAGCGGACACACCTCAATAGACCCTTAAACTCCCAGAGTAATGAACATGTGATTTTTCCCTACAGTATCCATAGATTATCCAGCAAACAGGTAATGAGAATACTCAAACTTATCAGTTAGAAGTCGTTATCTTGATCTAACACCAAATTCTCCTAACTAGGTTACAAGGAAATGTATAGCAGCTAGAAGGGTGAATTAAAAACCAGATCTTGGGAGTCAAAGGGTTAAGCAAACTCGGTCACTACCATTGAGCCTTTTTGTGACCCACAGCGAAGTAGAAAAAGCCAGAGGAGTGTAACCGGAGTTCACAACATACAAAATTTCTTCATTATCCTTAATTATTTCTGATTTAAAAGGGAAGAAATACACTCTACGAGAAAAGGAAATGATGACTCTTTGCACGGAAGTAGCGAGAGTCTATTTCGCGATGTCTGACCTAACTATCTTGTAATATTTTCACTTCAAACGTATGAGGCTCAGCAGTTTTCATCACTGCTTGTGCAGGTGATTCGTTGGTTGTTAACTTGATCATTTCATCGGAGGGTAAATCATCAAAGTCTTCACACTCAGCCAGACTAGGAACACTCTCTGATCTTTCCATACTACCGGGTCTATTCCAGGACGCTTGAAGATGTTCCTGATCAGAAGGAACGTCATTCGTAGGCGCGAACTTGACCTCGCTGGGTTCTTGGCTTTTTCTCAGACAAACCCCACTCTCAGGATTACATTCGTAGTCATCAAATGTGCAAGTAAAAACCTCGTTATTGTCTTCTTTTGCCTCAAGAGGTGCCTTGATACCCTCGATATCTAAGTCTTCTGCGTCAATTAGACTGGTGTCCTGTTCTTTACCCTTTTGGAGATATTTCCAAAATCTCTCTTCTACACAAATATCTTGCGCCATCTTGAGGACTTTGGGTGATTTGGGCGGCCGTATTGGTATCACCTCAATTACATTTTCAACATGTGACTCGGTAACAGTTTCCATCCGACCAGTTTTTAAACTTTGAACTTTCTCTAGGAAATTTGACGGTGCCCAACCTACAGAATGACTTGAAGTGCGCACTAGCCACCAGCCCCCCTCCGATTCTTCTAGAAGTTCAACCTCAGCATTCTCTTGCAGATTTACTTCCTGTTCGCCCTCTTTTTCGTAGGATCCCATGGCTAAGAATCTGTTATTCACCAGCTCCGGCATATTTTCGGTATATTCTTCGCCTTCTTTCTCGTCTTCGTCTTGCACATCAGGTTGTTGGTTTTCATCACTATGTGAATCGATGACAGGGTTTTCAGGGCTAGATCCGTGTACGGTTTCCTCGTCCTCAACCGGAAACTCCGAATCCTCTTTTGTTTCCTCCTCCGGGAGTTTAATCGGGCGGAAGTGATAACGTTCGTCGGAAGAGGGAGGTGGGGTATTTGAGTTGTTGGAACTCTGAGCTAGCAACGGGCTCGGGATGGGACTCGTCCCGCGGGAAACAGTTTCCAGATCCTCTTCTTCCACCATTGATAAAGGCCTGGGCTTCAATAAGCCATTAATCTGCACATCGTTAACTGAATTTTCAGAGTTGACCTCAAGGATGCTCTTTGATTCTCCGTTTAATCTGCATCCTGCTCTTACTTCATTGGGGTCTTGTTTCTGCCGCGGATTCCGTCTTCCTTGAGGCTTCTTCGTGACTTGATGAAACTCCAGATTTACGTAGGATCTGACAGGCTTTGTGTTGAAACTGTTCTCTTTTCTAGCAGAGCTGGATACGGCTTGGTTTTCGTTCCTCCTCTTCGGGTGAAATATAGATTTTAAGAAGAAACAAAATTAATAAAGATGGTCATTTCATATTCTTTAAAAGGTGTCAAAAAAAATTCGTACCACACTCTTTTTCCTGGCTGGTGGGTCCCATGTTTGTCTTCTTCCTGGAGGAAAGGAAACAAAAAGATTTTGTAAACAGCCAGATGGGGACAAAAGAGTTTAAAAGAAGTATATGGGGATGGACAGACGGACCAGAGAATTGTGACTTAAGTGAATCTACTCGTGTGGGAATTCTATTTTTCTTACCAGCAAGGACAGAAATGCTATTCAAACGCGTATCTCTGATCATAGCTCTGACTGCAGCATGTTTTCCTTTCTGTCTTGCGTTGTACTGGGACGAGGCCACCTCTCTCAGATACATTGATGGTGCCCAGCCTTCTTTCTCTTCAAACCTGTCGCGAGTAAAGTAATCTTGTTGCGAATTATGTTGCTGGTAGATATCAGTCAATATACTTTCGAAATTTCCAGTTGTTAGACTTAAATCCAAGCAATAATCATTTAAGTTTGGTTCCTCTAAAAACTATCACAACTTACTTGACAAACCACCATCCGTCCAGATTTTTCTGAATGACCTTGACGACTTTTCCCATTTCAAACCCAACCTCGTCGTCAAGTTGAGGCTCATAGGCAGCCATGGAAATGTATGTTTCCTCTGTGTGTCAAGAAAGACGAAATCAGAGCACGGCAGTTTTTTTCAATTTTTATTTGTACAAAGTGAGCAATGAGCCCGCAAACAACCCTTATCTGATCGGAAAAAATTTAGGCATGTCAAATTGGCATCATAAGCGGGGGAGGGGGGGGGGGGTAATGAGACCGTACATTGGCCGCATTTAGGGGAATGGGAGCCTATATTTGCCGTCACCCAAGTTTATAATTCACCGGCTTGTTTACACAGAAAGTGACCAATTCAACAGAAATGTGTGAATTCTCGACCGAAGGGAGGGTTCATGCGAAAAAAAGGTCAATAAGCTGGCTATTGGGGAGCGGCAGTGTACTTCATACATACATTAAAGAGGTGACTGGATCGCACGTAGCAGAGTACCTTACCCTCTCCTTCCTCAAAAGTCTCCAACACCTGATCATCCATGCTGCCGTCCCGGGGTTCAAGGTAAGATGCTGGTACCCAGCCCACCTCACTGTCAAGGTCCACAAACCACCAACCTTCAATGAGAAGCGTAAACAAAAAATATTTCAGAGAAAGTTGAAAGACACAATTTATTGAAATGTAATCAGCTCAAGATCTGAAGCTAATTGCGTAGTGAAAGTAACCTAATCCTGATGCAGTGAAACGAAGATGAAAATCACGCTATGAAAAAGTAAACTTCAATAGTTTGCAATTTACAAATAGCTGCCGCTCTGGTTATCGTTGAAAGAAGTCATTACATCGTGATGGAAAAAGGGAATTTAGTTGTGTCAAAGCAAATGTAATCGGTCAGGTTGCTAAGCAAAATTCAAAATGGCGGCGTACGCAGTAAGATTACGTTACGTTACTCTTTGGATTTCGGTGTCCTACTAAAAAATCATGGCGGAGCTTGCTGCGCGCGCAGAGATACCAATAATTATAAAAAAAAATGTTAATAAAGATAACCCATCTAGTCGAGAAAATTAAGTTTATCATAAATTATTGTCCATAGAGAATGAGCTCACGAGGGTGTCACGCCTTTAACAAGCTGGGCATCACATCACTCACCGTGTTCATTTTTCTGGATAACTTCCACAACGTTCCCTGCTGTGAGACTTATGTCATTTACTTCTCTACTTGTGTAATCTGCGATTGCCACGTATTGCTCCAGCAGGAATGGCTCCGATATGTGCTGAAGATCTGATACAGGAAATAATTAAATTGCTTATAAAAAAAATCAGCTTCTCATTATTTATGACCTGAAAAACCATCAACAACAGCAAAAAGCTAGATTTGCACAAAATTGTGTTTGCATAATCATTTCCAATGAACTCTCAACCCACGACCCCGAGATTAATAGTTTTATGCTCTACCGACTGAGCCAACCAGGCGAGACACAGGTGCCTGTGAACAGGAATTTTGAAAGAAGATTTTTACTGTTTATAAAAGAGTATGTGCGTACAACAACAACAACAACAACGTAACTTGCAAAGTGAAGCTTAATTAATTGAAAATTTATGAAGAATATTTTTAACCCCAGGATACAAGAGTTCATGTTGGATACTGTAGGATTGTAATGTTGGCTTACATTTTCCTTTTGATGCGCGTCTATCCATATTTCGATTTTTTCTAAAGAAAAATAAAAGACAGGAATATTTCATTGAACATTTTCCTTGCAGCGGAGTGCTGTTGTGTGAACTAAAATAATGTTAGAATAAACCAGAGTCACCCATTTGCTCTGATGATATGATAATGTTATTTTTGAGCCACGGAATGCGCGCCAAGGTGCAAACTGTGGACAAAAGTTTCAACCCCACTTAATATCATCGGGATGGATTCCCTCATAAAAATATAAAGAGACACAAGTGTACTACACTTGTTCACTTACTCTGCTTGATCATGGTCTAACTCGATAAGATCTTCGGGAAGAGGGTGAAAAAAGTTTATTACAGGATCTGATCCAGAAATATGCGGAGGTTGATGAACTACAGACTGTAAAAGGGAGAAAACAAATCTGTCATTCGAATTTAAGGTAAATGGCCAATCAGCTTTATCCAAAAAAAAAAATTTAAAAATAGAGGAAAAAGTTAGAAATTAGTTTCGTTGGCAATTGTCCATTTAATACTCCCTTCGCTCTAACAAAAGGCTCACGCTTAAGACGCCAGCCTGAGAAATTCTCTACGGTGGCCATTATATTATCAACTTAGCAGGTTGATGAAACCACATTATTCTGTAATAACCCCCCCCCCCCCCCCCCCCCCCCCCCCCCCCCCCCCCATGAAGCACCACAGTTTCTTTGGAAAATTGTTATAACCCCTTTTGTAGTATTGTGTCAGCGGCAAACTTTAAAAAAGTATCACTGCTATGACTACAAAAAATGAGCTTCGTTGTGTCAACATGACATGGCTGCATTTTTACTTTCTGTAACTTACTTTGAGGAATTCTTCGACAGCAGGCATTCTTTTTAGTGCTTTGGCGCGTTTTTTGATAGTCAACCTTCCAGAAAATGACTTTCCTGTGGAGAAAAGTTTGGAGACCATAAAAGATATCGAACATAAACTTATGCTTACTAGAAATTGTCATGTGGACCAAACATTTTTAAAACTTCTTGGGTAGCTTTTAAGTTACCTTTGAGCAGTGTTCTAGAAGCTGGGTCGTTCTGGTTCAAGATGAAGTCTTCTATTTTTAGTAACCTTTCCTGCGAAATAACCACACTACATAAGCTCTCTTGTGTTCTCATTGGCTGTTCAACTGACAGGAAACTCCCCTCAAAGGGGCACCAATTTGCTGTAAGAATTTTTTTTTTGATCATAGTTGATGAAATCTCGGCGATAAAATGCAATAGTTGGGAGGCCAGAATGATTTCTTTGTTTAAGATTTTATATCAATTTTTTTTGTACCTGACCGTGAATGATATTCGATTGCATTCGAATGATGTTGTACTAACTTCCTATCGATTCATTTAGCCACCGTGTGCGCATGCGTTGACATCCAAACAAATGATTACGTCAACTAAAGAGCTCCCAAAAAAAACTCAGGCACCGTGGTTTTTAATTTTGATAATTTCCGATTTTTATAACCAGTCTCCCGTCGGACAGATTCAGTAGTATGAGTACCTGCAGTTCAAGGAGGGTGCTGTAGCTTCTGTAGACTGGAGTGATGGGTCCGTCATGCCAATGAACTTGAATGAAGTATACCTATCGACGAATGGAGAAATTAAGTTCAACTGATCATCCTGTATTATTTCAAATCAGTGAATATCAGCAAGCTGACTGAAGACATTTGTCAGGGCTCCTTTGTCAGGCTTCCTTCGCTTAGGGTCATTTGAAGGTCTCTAGGGGTCCATAGTGTATCCCTCGTCAGATCCACTACATCTTCACGTTTTATTTTGTTTTAGGTTAATTCCTGGCGATAAACTGGTTTTCTGGGATCTTTTTTTGATTAGTCACCTGTCCAAAATACTGATTGAAATGAAATTCAAGACTATAGGCTATTATAACCAAAATCTTCCGATTCAAGTCGTTTCATTACAACCTCCTTCCCAGTTGGTTTTATGGCCCTTTGAAAAAAGCTTACGTAATGTTTTCTTGGCTTTGTTCTTTTGCATATGTCCTCAACCGAGACGTCTCTGACCTGTGTTAAGCTCATGGCGCTGGAATGGAAAAAAAAAATTTAGGTCCACTTTTTACCATTAGTACAGATCGTCCAGTGTTCCCATGGCGACGCATACCCCTATTAGCCATTCGCCTGGGCACCTGTGCTTTGAAATACTGACTTCGAACGCAGTATTTATTTATTTGTTCTCCGTCAGAAATGATAAAATTTTAACGCTGTGTTTCAAAACAATAAGTCTATACATTTGTCCTTCTGATCACTGCAAAATAAATAATTTTTGCGAAAGCAATTAAGCTCAACGCCCAACGTGGGGCTCGAACCCACGACCCTGAGATTAAGAGTCTCATGCTCTACCGACTGAGCTAGCCGGGCGAATTACAATCCTCCTGAAAAATCAAATGAGTTTTTTCTTTACTTTCGCCCTTTCCTGCTCTAAACGTGAGCCCAAAAATAAATTGTGTAGACTCTTAATTAAAGTATCAAGAAGATCTCTTAATTTTATTATGTTAATAAGTTCTAAACCTTTCGTCAAACAAAACTAGTGTTTCCATTTCCGACTTTCCTGAAGCAAGATCCATTTGCAACTGATAGTTACTAAGATAGTTATCTGCCTTCGTTGTGCGACCTTTCCCTTACGTTGTAGACCTTTTGGTGTTGCACAGCTGGAATAATATTAAAAATGTTGGGTATTTTTTAACGTTTGAAACTGTGATTACCTTTATAAAATGCCTGAGATGCTACGTTTACAGCACGGATGAACCCATTGAAAACTGAAGTTTAATCTTATAAAAAATAGACCTGCCTCTGATATACAAAATTTTCTTTATTTTCTTTATTACGCCGGCAAATCGATAGAAAGTGTAGTAAAAGCGTATTTCTGCCCCTTTCTGGTTAGAAAGAAACATGCCCGTCTCTGGCATTTGCAGCTCCGATTGAGGGCATCTGAAGCAAAATTAAAGCATTCTTCTTTCAATTTCAATTTCTCATTTTGTCACAGAGTAAGTAAGACAATAGGCTCCGAGGCTAAAGGTCGTTTATTTAGCGTCAAGTCAAGCAATGCATTGATGTAGTTAATAATGATCGATATGGTAACTTTTTTTATCGCTCAGACCCTGAAGAGAGAACTCGGACGCTACACGCCAATTTATGCGTTCAGACCAGTGGGAAGCATAACTGCATAACTTGACACAATTCATTTAAGAAACAATGCGTTCGCAACGTACTTCATACCTATGGATCAACCCAGAATGTTTTCATATTCCTGGAATCATGGGTCATAAGAGATTTAAGTTCCTTACCGACTTCACTCAGGGAAGATCCACTCCTCGTGTAACTTAACAAAACGTCGTTACTAAAAGACTACGGTAGGAATCAAATTCTATTGGCAACACAAGATACTCCGCCCTGGAAAATCAAAGGAGCAGAACTCCCAGTTGCTTCATTATATTAAAGAAAGCGAAAAATAGTGATGACTCACTGATGCCTTCGGGGACAGAAACCTCAACTGAAATTTCATTTTTCTTTGGTAGAATTAATTAGACCCTGTCTGCGTATGGAAAATTTCTGTTTTTTTAAGTAAGTACCCTCGATCTGGGCTACAGCTGCTTAATATCGTTTCACGCTATAGGGTAACCTTATCAGTGAATTTTTAGAAAGGCCATACCGAATTTACTAAAATAATTCCGGACCATTTCAGGTGCTTAGCTCTGAGCAAGATTTTTGCATTACTTCTAAATGCCAATGCCAAGCAAAAGTACCAATATTAGTGTATTGCGTTTAATTCATGTTTTGCAATTAGAATTTTACAAAAGGTTGAGTGAAAAAGCGTGGTGTAGAGAGAAACAGAGACTGTGGAAAGTGAGGCAGAGAATGT